TTGAGATGTTCCTACAAACGGATGCCATACTGGAGATACTTACTAGGCTATGCCAAGAGATTTGGAAAACAGCTACCTGGCCAACTTACTGGAAGAGATCCATATTTGTACCCATTCTGAAGAAAGGTGATCCCACAGAATGTGGAAATTATCGAACAATATCATTAATATTGCACGTAAGTAAAGTCTTGCTGAAGATAATTCAAAAACAGTTGCAGCAGTATATTGACAGAGAACTTCCAGAAATGCAAGCTGGATTCAGAAGAGGATGTGGAACGAGAGATATTGTCGCTGATGTCCCATGGATCTTAGTGGAAAGCAAAGAACACTTGTTTACTTGTGTTAATGACTATACAAAAGCTTTCAATTATGTGGATCACAACCAATTATGGATAACATTGAGAAGAATGGGAATTCCAGAACACTTAATTGTACTCATGAGGAACTTGTACATGGACCAAGAGGCTGTTGTTTGAACAGAACAAGGGGACACTGCACAGTTTAAAATCAAGAAGGGAGTACATCAAAGTTCTATCCTTTCGTTATTTACTCAATATGTATGCTGAGCAGACAATCTGAGAAGCTGGACTATATGAAGAAGAATGTGGCATCAGAATTGAAGGAAGACTCATCAATAACCTGCAATACACTGACAACACAACTTTGCTTGCTGAAAGTGAGGATAACTAGAAGCACTTACTGATGAAGATTAAAGTCTGCAGTATGGATTACACCTCAATATAGAGAAAACAAAAGTCCTCACAACTGGACCAATAATCAGCATCACGATAAATGGAGAAAAGACTGAAGTTGTCAAAAACTTCATATTACTTGGTTCTATAATCAACACCAATGGAAGAAGCAGTCAAGATATCAGACGACATATAGCATTGGGCAGATCTGCAGCAAAAGACCTGTTTCAAGTGCTGAAGAGCAAAGATGTCTCCTTGAAGAAGGTGCACCTGACACAAGCCATGGTATTTTCAATCGCCTCATATGCATGTGAGAGCTGGACAATGAATAAGGAAGACCAAAGAAGAGTTGATGCTTTTGAGCTGTGGTGTTGGCAAAGAATACTCAAAGTACCATGGACTGTTAAAAGAACTAATAAATCTGTCCTGGAAGAAGGGCAGCCAGAATGTTCCTTGGACGCAGAATGGCCAGACTTCATCACACCTACTTTGGTCATGCTGTAAGAACGGACCATTCCCTGCAGAAGGATATCATGCTTGATAAAGTGGAGAATCAATGAAAAAGGGGAAGGCCCTTAGCAAGATGGATTGACACAGTGGCTACAAGATGGGCTCAGATATAGCAAGGATCATGGGGCTGGCACAGGACCAGGCAGTTTTTTGTTCTGTTATACATAGGGTCACTATGAGTCAGAGATGATTCAACAGCACCTAACAACAACAGCATCTGACAGATTGGGAAAGTGAAGCAAAAGCCAAAACCCTATGCTCTTGAGTTGAGAAATTAGAAACAACGCATAGAGACCTTATAACATGGACTGGAACTGCCCCATAGGGTTTTAAGGCTGTAAATCTTTAGGGAAGTAGACTGCCTCATCTTTCTCCTGTGGAGCAGCTGGGTTCAAACTGCCAACTTTTGATCCTTGTCAACATTTATGAGATCATCATTATCTCTAATTTATAGATGTGGAAACTCGGGCTTAGAGTTAAATAACTTACCTAAGATCACAGAGCTGAGAAAAAAAATTATGATTTGAACCTAGGTCTGACTATATTTAAAATTATATTATCTGCCATAAATCCAAGAATTTAAGTTTGAGTTCATGAAGATAGTGATTTTTATCACACACATCATGTAGCATACAAACAAATGTTTCTTGCTTTTCTTACATTCTTATTCACTCCTAATTGAGCATGAGAGCATGTTCTTAGGAATTCCTTTTCTTTCAAATAGAACAGGCAGGGTTTAGTATATTAGAAAGAGAATTAGGCAAAGAGGCATATTTCCTGAGTTCTGGTCCAAAGTTAGGCTGGTGGTTTAAACCCACCAGCCACTCCTTGGAAGGAAGATTGGGCAATCAACTTCCATAGTGGCAGTGCCTAGGAAACCCAAGGAGGGGTCTCTGTGAGTCACATCTGACTTGACGGCAGTGAGTTGAGGTCCAAAGTTGGCACAAATGAGCTACGAGATCTGGGTAATTTCTCACTCTGACTTTCACTTTTTCATCTGTGAAGTAAGATGGTTGGACTGCATGATCTTTAAAATGCTTTCCAGCTCTAATATTCTACGAATTTTATCCATTTTGAAAGATTAATCTTATCCAGAGATAAATTGGAGAGAAAGCATAAAGTTATCGACCTTTTCCTTGCCCTTTATTCCAGAAAAGATCAGATGTTATTCACCAGAACATTTTGTTGTTAGCTACTGTCAAGTTGGCTCCTGACTCACCCCAGCCCCATACACAATAGAACAAAATGCTGCCCAGTCTTATACCAACTTCATGATCAGTTATGTATCAGACCTCTGTGATCCACAGCATTTTCAGTGACAGATTTTGGAGAATAAATTGCTAGGTCTTTCTTTTAGTCCATCTTAGACTGCAAGCTATGCGAAACCTGGTCAGCATCATAGCAACACTTAAGCCTCCACTGATAGACATGTGATAGCTGTGTATAAGGGGCACTGACTGGGAATCAAACTGGTTCTTCCGCATGGAAGACAAGAATTCCATCACTAGGCCATCATTGACACGGTCCTTTAATCCCCATCAGAAGGGTCACTAAATTGAAATACATTTCCCTCACAGGAATCAAGGAGAATAAGATTTTATTTTTAATTCCCTTTATGTATCAAATTTCAGCAAGTTGTCTGTGTGTGGGTGTGTTTTTTCCTTCAAACTTGTATACCTTACAGAAAGACCGATAAATACAGTGATTGACTCAAAGACACCATGAGCCAGTCCCAACATCTCAGAATAAAGCAGAACCAGCTCCAGACTCTCAGGCAAAACTCCCCCAGGGCTCAATGTCCCAGCAGGTCCTATCATAATTTTTAATGACTATGTCTGCATAGGAATGAGCTCTGGTAGCTTAATGCCTAAGGCATTTGACTGCCAACCAGAAGCTGGTGGTTCAAACCCACCAGCCACTTCTCAGAAGGAAGGTTGGGCAATCTATTTCCATAGTGATACTGCCTGGGAACCCAAGGAGGGGTCACTATGACTTGGATCTGACTCAATGGCAGTGAGAAGATGTCTGCATAGGAGCCCTGGTGGTGCATTGGTTAAGCACTCAGCTGCTTAACCATGGTGGTTCAAGCCCACCAGTTGCTATATGGGTAAAGGACCTGGAGATCTGCTCACATAAAGATGACAGCCTAGGAAACTATATGAAGTCATCCTGTTCTGTCACATGGGTTTGCTATGAGTCAGAATTGACTCAATGGCAGTGGGTTTAGGTTTGATTTATGTCTGCAGCAGGAGTCCCTGGGTGGTGCATATAGTTAACATTCTTGACTGCTAACCAAAATGTCAGAGGTTTGATTCAACCCAGAGTCTCCCAGGAAGAAAGGCCTAGCAATCTAGTTCCCAAAACACCAGTCATTGAAAACATTATGGAACATCATTCTACTCTAACACAAATGAATTGGAATCCTTTCAGTAGCAACTGGTTTTTTATGCTGCTTCAAACTGAGCACAAGACTGGGAAAAGTCCTCCTTCCACTTTCTTCCTCTTGTGAAGAAAACAAACTGTTTCCTGAATACCCTATGTTCACTCATTGATAGGATCTTGTAGAAGAGTGAAAGCAAAGGTCCCAGTGCTGCAACTCCCATGCTTCTCCTTCTTTTCCTCCAAGAGCTGTTCAATTATCTATCAGCAGTGGCTGCATCAGACTCTACCAAGATGATCCACCTGATTCTACATAGACTTAGTTCTTGCCAACATGAAGAACTGTTTAATCTTTTAAAGATAACAGGGATCTCAGAGGCAAATTAAGTTCACATGGCATACTAGAATTTGTAATACCCAAGGAAGAAAATGTTGGCTCAGCTCAGACAAGTGCCAAGATTTTACAAAATTGGAAAAAAAAAAACCAGAAAAAAAGGTAGGTATGATTCCAAAGCCAGGGACTTCCAAAGAGATTGTTCATTTCCTTTGTAAATAATCCTAGTGAGGAAGAAGCATGTAAGGAAACCAATGTGTGTACAGACCACTGTCTGATAGGTTCACAATACAATGAGTATATACAAAAGATAGAAGAGGATCTCATGAAAACATGAATAGAACACTATGGCATGGGGCCTAAAGAACCATGTGGAAATGGTAACTCATAAATTGAAAAGACTGAGCTGAGGCTGTTCAGAACCAAGAAGCAGTTTACAAAGTATTAGGGTCCAAGCATCAGGGTCACCCAGACTTGGTTTTGAAGCCTGATTCTGCTACTTCTTAACTAGATCACTTAACCTCTCTCTTTCTTCATCTGTAAATCAAGAAATAGTAATAATACAGGTTAAGGTTAAATTATTTAATACATGGGAAGTGCTTAGTATAGTAGTTAAGAATACAGTGAGCACTTGGCAGAAAATGATTTAGCCAATGATCATCCAAAGGATTTTTCAGTTTAGACAGAAAAGAATAAAAAGCACAGGATTTAACATATCTACAGAGAAATGCAGAACAATTTAACAATGCCTCTGCTTCTCCTATTTCTCCCTCACACCCAATAACATGAATGTTCTTCTAAATAAAAAGAATAGAATAGAATGAAGAGGAGAAATTAAATCCCAAAGGAATGAGGCAATTAATAAAAAAGACAGTACTGAGTTGCCAGAGGGGTTAGCTTCCATGACCAAATGAATTACATCTCAAGGAACTTAAAGAACCTGAAGAGTGATTATAGAACCATGCTGGGTAATCTTTGAGAAAGTCTGAAGACATTAAAAGCATCAGATGACACATTAGTAATAGTGCTTTCTACTTAAAAAAGCATAGAAAGATTTTTGATGCTTTAATTTTCCTTCCCATCTCTAGGTGGATGTATGGATTATTGAACCTCAGGGAATGAGATTTCTTCATGTTCCAGATACATTTGAAGGTCATTTTGATGGTGTTCCAGTCATATCTAAAGGAAACCAGAAGGTAAAATGAGCATTGCAGGTTGCAAAATGTCTAAGTGGCTAGTAGTTCATGGGGTCTGTTCTCTGCTCTGAGAGAAGAAAAGTGGTCAAGTCTTGAACTAAGGGTACTATCATGAAGGAACAGTGATCCCTGAGCTTAGTCTAGGATCTTCCACAGAACATACAAAATTCGTGGTTGTCTCATTTCATTTTGACCAGTGACTGTCTCTTTTGGAGTGTCATCTCCCCAGGTCATCTACTTGACCAGTAGCCAAAAGACAGCTTGACAGCATTCATGTAATATGTGTTGCATTTTCATTTAAAGAGAGAGGTTCAGCTTGCTTCTCTCTGCCTTAATGGCCAAGAATAACCAACTATGAACCAGTAAAACACTTCTGTGAACCCCTCACAAACTCTTCCTCATGCTGTTCCATTTCTACCATCAGAGAGGGAGGAAATCCTTTGAAACTATTTTTAAAAGAAAGGAAGAAAGGCCTGACAACCTGGCAAAGTAGCACCACAAGCTGGCAGATACTTTTGTATAAAAATGTACTGTTTCTTCCTAATGGGCCTACTGATAGTGATGGGATGCTGAATGTTCATTGGGCAACACTTCACTTCTGTGCACAAGATGGTGCAGCTGTCAACTCTCACCTGGAGAGGGACTGGAGCCAAGATCAAGCTATGACATCAATGTTCTTTCCAGGCACATGTCTCCTTCAAGCCCACAGTAGCACAGCAAAGGAAATGCTCCAACTGCTCTGAGACTGCAGTGGAAGGAGACCTGGTGATTTTGTACGATGTGAATAGAGAAGAGAAAGCTGGCAAACTTGAGGTGAGTGAAAACAGATTCTAGAACTCCCAAGCTGATGTCAAAGAATTGTTTCTTGTTGAACAAATTATCTAACCTCTGGATAGGTTCCAGCTGCCAAGGCAAGTTGCAGAGAAGGGATTGAAATATGTCTCTAAGGGTCCCTAAGCAATATCATATCAAGAAAATAAAAAATAAATGAAAGATAAATAGGTTTCATGCCCTGGTCTCAGAAGTGTAGTTCTTAACCTCACATGAAGAAAATAGAAAGTTCAGAAAGGGAAATTTGGATAACTTCCCAAGGCCTTTGCAATTAGACTATCAAAGAAAATAGAGATTATAGGCTGAGAGGAAGGCACAATCAAAGCTCAGAGAAAGATCTGGTGCTAGTGGTGAATTTCAGCATCGATGTGTATTGTGAAATTTCTCCTTTTCTCATGTCTTAGACATATGTCTCTATTTCTATTGTGGTAGAGTAAGACTCCTTAGAGAGTTTCAAAAAAGCTCTAACTCCACCAGGAACAGGTAGACAGATGAACATCTTAGAGCCCACTTCTCGTACCCTGAACTGGACATTGTGATGTCTTGGATAGAAGCAACCAAAGGGCAGTGGAAAGAGAATTAGGTGAGCCAATTGAAAAAGCCTGCAGTAGAAAACAAAGAGGATGATTGGAGATTTAGCTAGGATTGGTTTCCATCAACTTCAGTCAAAATACAAACTACCTAGAAGGGCACATAAAGTACCTTCATGATCTGCCCTACTATTTCCCCACCCTAATTTCTTGGCATATCCTCCACCTTGAATTGCATGGCTGTGTCATGCTGAACTTCTTATAGAGTTTCATCTATGCCATGTCCTCTCACAGCTGAGTCTTTGCTGTCTGGAAGTCTCCTCCCCACCTTTATCCCCCACCCTTATTCCAACTCTCATGCTGGCTGGCTAACTCCAAATCCATCCTCAGGCCCCAGCTTAGATGCTATTTTCATGGAAAGCCTCTCCCATCTGAGTGAGATGTACCCCACTGGGCTCTCTCAGAGCCTTTTATTTTCTGATCATCACACTTCACACACTGTGCCTTGATTGCCTGTTTGTTTTCTGCATCTTCCAGTGGTCTTTGTGCCTTACAAGAGCAGGGATGCTTGATTCACAGTTATTTAGCATAATGCCTTGAAGTGGAACTCTCAGCAACACTGGGTGGAGTGAAGTAGAGCGAAGTGGAATACCCTGGGAGTTTAAACTGCTGAGAAGACTTGAACCCTCACAGTAAAGGAATGGGGAAAAGCAGGAAGGAAAAAGGAAAGAAAGAAGTACATCTCAGTTCTCATCTTTTTGACCCCAATGCGCCCTGCTCACCATTGCTCACTTCAGTCTACCATTTTCCAACCCAATCCAGCCTAGTGTCCATTCCACTCCTCACCCCAGGTTCCCAGTCTCAGATTTTCACTAAAGAATCCTGAAGCCCTCATCATCTCCCATCTTTCACCACACGTCTTGGTTCTACCCACTGCAGAATCCTACATCATGCCATGGGAGCCACCTGGCAGACATTTGTAAGGAAGCTCCTATTTCCATCATTCAGTAGATGAGAGTTTTTTGGGGAGTGGGGGGTGGGGGTGAGGGGGTTGTTATTTCACAACTTATGTATTTTAAAAGGACAAAACAAAAAAGTATCTTAAGATAAATTGCCATTGAATGGAAGCTGCCTTTCCAATACTTTGAGGACTACAAGACATATATAGAAAATTTATTATTGTGAAAAATGAAGTTTGCTTAAATCTAATTGGGGCGGAGAGAGAGCCTGTGGTTTTCCTTTCTGATTAATTGCCATAACACTATCCTTCAGGTTGTTGAGGGAGTTTCATGTTTTCTTTAGACATCATTAGGCACCAAAGCTCTTGCAGAACAACTTTGATGCTATATGAATTCTGCCATTTTGCTACCACTGATATGGCTCTTTGGCCCACCACTCCATTAGAACTATTAACTCCATTCACATCAAATCTTATAATGGGGAGTGCTTCTGGGTATTTAGGTTCACATTCTATTTTAAGGTTTCATATGAGGTTTTCATAAATTCTCTGAGCCCGGGTGGTTACCATCTTGTACTGCTGTCACTGGAAGTCCATCCGAGAAGGGAGGTTTGGAATTCCATAGCACTTGTTGAGGACTGGCCAAGGAACTTGACTACCATGATTAACATCAGTTCCCTAGAAATTTTTTCACAAATTACCAATTTACAAATAAGCTTTGGAAGCATCACCAGTTTCTAAGCTGGAAAATATCTGTTGTCTGAAAAACTAACCCCAAAAAATGTGTATATTAAATCCTAAAATAGATAGCTTAATGTGGGCATTCAGAATTATTTCTCAGTAATTATAGGGAAAAAAAATGTGCATTTGCCCAGAGAAAATAAGTACATGTAGTAAATTTTTATTGAGGACTCTAGTCTTTCCTTTCTAAGTATTGATAATGATTTGACTCACAAATCTATTCTATTTTGCAGGTATTTAATGGATATTTTGTCCACTTCTTTGCTCCCGACAACCTGGAACCAATTCCCAAAAACATTCTCTTTGTCATTGATGTCAGTGGCTCCATGTGGGGAGTTAAAATGAAACAAGTAAGAACCCCTTGTTTGCAGTGGTGTGTAGAATTTCCTACCTTTTTTGATACCCTCACTACAATGCAACCATTCGATCCTTTATTTCTAGGCATATAACTCAGTTACTGGTTACAAAGATTGTATAGTTTTTAGATTTCTGTATGTTAATAGGATGTACACATCAATCTTCTAGTCATCCCTTCTAAATTTCCCATCCTCATTTTTTTCTTCTCTGCTTCTCCTTCTCTTTTCCCTCTTTTTCATTCTATGTACACCATTTTCTTGAAAAACTATCTCAAAACTTACCTCTTTGAAGATTTCTCTGTGTAATGATTTCTCACTCTGATCACTCTTCGGTTCCACATCCTTTCTGTGCTTTTGCATAATGTTTACTTTAATATCATGCCATTATTGACAAGGAAGTTGTTCATTGTTATATCCATATCTTTTCTGGTTATACTATAATTTCTTGAGGGTGGCTATCTTGTTTCACGTTTGCCAATTCTTTCATATTCCCCAAAGTTTTAGTTTCATTCAGAATTCAATATAAGCTTATTCAAAATGTTAAATGGTATAGATGCAATTCCAAACAACAGAGAAATTTCTTAATTTATCCATCAATCCATCCAACCATCCAGTAAAACAACCAACTATTCACTCAATTAACAACCATTTTGACCATCCAAGTGTCTGCTACTATTCTAGGATCTGTAAGGAATCCAGAAGAACTAAAAGATCTAGATCCTATGCACTTGTACTTATGCTTCAATACAAAATTTCTCAATAGTGACATCACTGGCATTTTAAACTGGAGAATTCTTAGTTGTGAGGGGCTGTTCTGTGCATTGTAGGATGTTTATCATTATCCCTGGCCTCTACCCACTAGATTATAGTAGCAACCTCTCCACTCATGTTGTTGTTGTTACTTGGTGCTGTCAAATTGGTTCTGAATAATAGAAATTTTGTGTATGACATATCAAAAAGCTGCCTGGTCCTGTGTCATCCTCACAAGTGCTGCTATGCTTAGCTCACTGTTGCAGCCACTGTGCACTCTATCTCATTGAGAGTCTGCCTTTTATTCTCTGGCCCTCTACAAAGCATGCTGTACTTCTCCAAGGACTCTGATCCCTTCTGATAACATGTACAAAGTACATGAGACAAAATCTCACCATCCTTGCTTCCAAGGAACATTCTGGCTATAGACATTTCCAAATCTCCCCAGGGAGCAAAATTGCCCCCAGTTGAGAAGTACTGCTCTAATACAATATTTTATCCACTTCTTCCTTTCTTCTTTCATTAATTTATTTAACAAATACTTATTAAGCAACTAATATGTATCAGTTTTCCACTGATAAAGTGCCTACTTAGTTTATCAGTGGAAAAACAAAACAAAAAAAAAAATCATCCCTACCCTAATGGAGTTTATATTCTAGTATTGGATGGGGTGGGGATGGGGAGACTAGAGAATGAAAATAAGCATAATAAGTACATTTAAAAATATGTTAAACATTGTTGTTGTTGTTGTTGTTGTTATGTGCCGTGGAGTCAGACCCGACTCATAGCAACCCCTTGTTGGGTTTCCCAGGCAGCATCACTACCGAAGGAAGTAGATTGCCCAATCTTCCTTCTGAGGAGTGGCTGGTGGGTTTGAACCACCCTCCTTCTGGTTAGCAGTCAAGTGCCTTGGGCACTATACTACCAGAGCTCCCTTAAAATATATAGGATCACAAAATGAAGGATAATTATATAATACTGAGAATTCTTAATTAGTCACATAAACACATATTTAGGGGAAAACAATTCAATCTATAACAGAAGATATTTAAAGCAATGAGACCATATGAGAACACCAAGGAGTAAGTGTAAATAGAGAAAAGAGCCTAGATTGAACCCTAACACATTTCAATATTAAGAATATTGGGAACAAAGGAAACTGAGAAAAAGCAAACAGTAAGAGGAGAGAAAGAGAAGATTTAAAGACAATGTGTTCAAGGAATTTTACAGCAAAGAGAAGCTGAGAAATGGGGAGAATCGGTTCAAATGAAGTGTTTAAAAGTGTGAGAAATAATGGCATGTTTAATGTTTATGGAATGTCCCAATAGAGGAGGAAATTTAAGATGTAGAAGAGACAAAGGAGAATTGTTAGAGAGGTGTCCTCCAGCAGATGAAGGAGAATACAATGTAGTTCACAAGTAGATGGATTTACATTAGATAGAAACACTGCTAGTTCTTCTATATCAACAAGGCAGGATAAAAAAAAAGTGATTGTGTATAACAACATAGAACAGTAAAAGGTTAAGTATCAAAATTCAGAAAATACATGTTCAGAAAAAGTAAGAGGTGAGTTCATGTTGACTGAAGTGGCTTCAAGAGATTTTCTAAAAGAATTATAGCTTGAATCAGTACTTTAAGAATGACTAGGATGAATTATTGGTCTTCCTAGTTTCCTCTCAGGCTTACAGCTTATTTAATGAGACCTCTCTTTATTCTCCTTTGAAATAGACTGTGGAAGCCATGAAGACCATATTGGATGACCTAAGAGCTGAAGACCAATTCTCTGTGGTTGATTTCAACCATAACGTTCGAACCTGGAGAAATGATTTGGTGTCAGCCACTAAAACACAGGTTGTAGATGCCAAGAAGTATATTGAGAAAATCCAGCCTAATGGAGGTGAGTGAGTTTGACCTAAAGCTGAGTAAGAGTCTTCCACAGGGTTAAAATCTTAGTTCACTTAAGAAGTAAGCAACATATCCTACCACAAGGGTCTTTGCCTAGTTTGCAATGATCTGTTTTAAATAGCACATTTATTATTAAATAGCACATTTATTATTAGGCAAATACTAAATTCATGATAAGGAACCATGGTAACACAATGGTTACAGCACTCAACTGTTAACCAAAAAGTTGATGGTTAAACCACCCAGATGCTCTATGGGAGAAAATACTTGGCAATTTGCTTCTATCAAGTTCTTGAAAACTCTATGAGGCAGTTCTCGTCTGTTCTATGGGGTCTGATTCAATAGTACCTAACAACAATGATAAATTCATGGTGCAAGTACAAATCCACATTTTTAGCCATTCCAACCTTTCTCAGAAAAGTATGTCAGTAAATGACACCAGTATTCTCTATTACTTTTATAGCATAAAATGTATCTATCTTCAGAGCAGTGTCCAAGTATATCAGCAAGAGTGACTTAGAAACCTTAAATTTGCCATTTAATAAAATGACAGACTGTTATTCTGAAGGGCTTTCATCTCTAAGGGAACAGTTTACTACAAAGTGAAGATTTTCCTCAATTGTGGGATTTTGACTAGCATGGGCAAAATTTGTGTCACTTGGAAAGGAACCATATGACTTTGATACTGAATAAAGTGCACATGCATAATCAATAGACAGATGAACATGAACCCAATATGTGATTATTTCTGTCGAAAGAAAGAGGATGCAACCGAACATCATATGATATTACTTTAACAGGCACAAACATCAACGAAGCACTTCTGCGAGCAATCTTTATTTTGAATGAAGCCAATAACTTGGGATTGTTGGACCCCAACTCGGTCTCTCTGATAATTTTGGTTTCTGATGGAGATCCAACAGTAGGTAAGTATCATTTTCATTTTCTGGGAACAAATATTTTTACTGTTGATCCTTGGGAATGTGATTGCCTAAAACGGAAAACCCAATGGTATTTGCCTGAGTTTCTAAGACATTTTAAGCCCGTGCTTCCAGAAAGGTTTCTTCTGACTCTGAAGCACTTATTCCCTCAATCTCCTCTAATCCATTTCCCTTCATCACTGAAGCCAGCCCTCACACATTCTGCCCTGGTGCTCTTCACTGCCCCAAGTTCACCTCCACAGTATGAAGACATTTTAATAGCATGTTACAAGGCTTGCTGATACGCACAAGTGAAAGGCATTTATTCCTCAATTTAAAGTATATGAAGATGGTGCTTTTCCCAGGTCTCCTAGTCATAACTCTGGACTTCACAATGACATACTCTCCCATTGTTCTCTACATCTCTCTTCAGTTCTTCACTGCAACTGGAAAATAACTTCTCTGATGCATCCTTTAGGTTAAGCATGTTTCATATCCACAAAATGGCTTTAGCATCTCCCTACCTCTAATAAATATTGTTATATTTATTTGTTTCATTTATTTCTTTATACTGACAAATATAAGTAACAGTGAATTCTAGATTGTGTTGCCATCTGTCATGTAGACAAGGACTATGTCTAGCACAGGTCTTCACATTGCTAGATGGAATGACAAAAATAGTTGCTGAGACAATAAAGACAACGATAATGGGAGACTTAAAAAGAGTTAAGGCAAATATTTTGTTAATAGTGAGACTAGAGTGATCAGTGGTTATATATTTGTAGGTTCAGTGTTTTCCTCCTCTAATAGAATAACTTTTTAAATTAAATTTTAAAATAAAATAATAAAGTGGAAAAGAAAATACAGTATAAATTAAATCTGTTTTCTCACTTCTGTCCCTCAGCTATCCAGTTCCTATGTCTGGAGGCAGCCATTGGTTAACAATTTTTTGTGTATCTTTCCAGAGATATTCTATGCATACATATATTTGTGCATATTTAAATACAATATATAAAATATAACACAAATATATATGTATGTGTATACATCAAATTGGGAGCTCTGGTAGCATAGTGGCTAAGTCACGGCACATAACAACAACAACAACAGCAAAATACATCAAATTGATTCTGATTCACAGCAACCCTATGTATAACAGAATGAAACATTACCCAGTCCTATGCTATCTTCATAATCATTGCTAAGTTTGAGCCTATTGTTGCAGCTACTGTGTTAATTTATCTTGTTGAATTCTTCCTCTTTTTCACTGACCCTTCACTTTATGAAGTATGATATCCTTCTCTGGGGACTGGTCCCTCCTGATAACATGCACAAAGTATGTGAGATGAAGTCTCACCATCCTTGCTTCTAAAGAGCATTCTGGCTGTACTTCTTCCAAGACAGATTTGTTCATTCTTCTGACAGTTTATGCCATATTCAGTATTCTTTGCCAACACTATAATTCAAATGGACCAATTCTTCTTTGGTCTTCTTTATTCATTGTCCAGCTTTCACATGCATATGAAGCTATTGAAAATACCGTGACCTGATCAGGCACACCTTAGTCTTCAAAGTGACATCTGCTTTTTAACACTTTAAAGGGGTCTTTTGCAGCAGATTTGCCCAATGCAATACATTGCTTGATTTCTTGACTGCTGCTTCCATGGATTTTGATTGTGGATCCAAGTAAAATGGAATATTTATAGACAACTTCAGTTAGGGAGCTCTGGTGGTGTAGTGCCTAAGGCATTTGACTGCTAACCAGAAGGCTGGTGGTTCAAACCCATCAGCCACTCTTCGGAAGGAAGATTGGGAGACCCATTTCCATAGAGATACCAATCCAAAAACCCAAGGAGGGGTTGCTATGAGTCAGAAAATGACTCAACTGCAGTGAGTTTGGTTTTACCATGATGTTGCTTATTGGTTCAGTTGTGAGGATTTTTATTTTCTTTATGTTGTGGTGTAATCCGTACTGAAGGCTGTAGTCTTTGATCTTCATCAGTAAGTGCTTCGAATCCTCTTCACTTACAGCAAGGAAGATTGTATCATCTGCATATCTCAGTCTTCATCCAATCCTGATGCTGCAGTCTTCTTCATATACTCCAGTTTCTCAAGTTATTTACTCAGCATACAGATTGAACAAGTATGGTGAAAGGATACAACACCAATGCACACCTTTCCTGATTTTAAACCATACATATATACATGCACCAAAAAAAACCAAACTCACTGCCGTGGAGTCAGATCCGACTCACAGCGACCCCTCCTTGGATTTCCAAGGCGCTATCACTATGGAAGTAGTATGCCCAGCCTTCCTTCCGAGGAGTGGCTGGTGGGTTTGAACCATCAGCCTTCTGGTTGGTTAGCAGTCAAAGCCTTAGGCACACACATGCTTATATATACGTCCCCCACACACTGATCTTTATCTTGTCTTTCCACTTTTACAATGTATCATATCATTTAAATGTAAGTACATAAAAAGTTCCCTGGTTCTTTTTAATGACTGCACAGCATTTCACTGTTTGAGCATATCTTAGTTTAACCATTCCCCCTTATTAGTGTATACTTGTTTCTGACATATTACTAGTATTCCCAACAACATTGCTATATATAGTTGCCCATATTTGAGTATGTATAGTGCATCAATCTAGAAGTTAAATTAATAGGTCAAAGTGCATTTTTAATGTTGAAATTTTTTCTGAACTGCCCTATGTGGATTTTCACAAACTTTATGCCATTGCTTCCTCATTCCTTTCCTTTCTGTTATCATCAACTTTAGGAGAACTTAAATTGTCAAAAATTCAGAAAAACGTGAAGCAGAACATGCGAGATAATATCTCCTTGTTCAGTTTGGGGATAGGATTTGATGTTGATTATGATTTTTTGAAGAGACTCTCCAATGAAAATCGTGGAATTGCTCAAAGGATTTATGGAAACCAGGACACTTCTTCCCAGCTCAGGGTAACTTTCTTTTTCCTGTTCTGTTCTTTTTTTTTTTTTTTTTTAATTTATTTCTTTCCTTTACTCAAAATCAACCAACTAGTAATATAGTGCCTAAGGCACTTGACTGCTAACCAGGAGGCTGGCGGTTCAAACCCACCAGCCACTCCTCAGAAGGAAGGTTGGGCAATCCTACTTCCGTAGTGATAACTGCCTCGGAAACCCAATGAGGGGTCGCTAGGAGTCAGGGCGACTCTATGGCAAATAACAACAACAACAAGAAGAAGGAGCTCTGGTGGCAAAGTGCCTAAGGCCTTTGACTGCTAACCAGAAGTCTGGCAATTCAAATGCACCAACCACTCCTCAGAAGGAAGAATGGGCAATCTATTTCCATAGTGATACCATTTCAGAAACCCAAAGAGGGGTCCCTATGAGTCGTAATTGACTTGACAGCAGTGAGTTTTAAGAGAAGATGGCCAAATTCAAACTTGTCATTATTTTCGGCCCTATTTAGTCACAATAATCAGGTAGAGGCGTTCACATACCCCCTTCCTACAGTGAGCTAAGAAACAGTAAGGTAGTGGTGACTCACGTCTATATTCCCTGGACAAAATTTCCCAGGGCACGATCAAAACTTCTTGCTGCTGTCCAGTCCTGCTAAACAACTAGTCTTCCTGAGCACCAGCCACCTATTTTCCCTTTAATGTGCCTTAGCATCTTTGATATCAACTTTGTATACTATCAGATCAAATAATGACTGTAATTTTCCTAAAATATAAAAGAAAATAATATTTAGTCAAATTAAACAAGAAAGAAAAAGATGTAGAAGAAGATCATATCTTACCCTGCTTTCTATCCTTACCAGGCATCATATTTAAATGTGGGGGTAGGTAAGAGATAAGGTTTTAAATTGGAGAATATCAACCCAACTGACTTTTCTTATTATGAGTGTTCATGAGTTTTTCATGTTGGTCTTATGGGGGTGGGGGGAGATGGGCTCTTAAATCAATAGTAACACTCTTGAGCTCTTATACTGTAGGGAATTGCAGTCAATGTCATGAGACAAAATGTGTATGAGCTGCTGCATGGAAAATGACATTGCTCTGTAAACCCAAATTTTGTACACCCAAATCACAATAAAAGTTTGAAGAAAAAAAAAAAAAAAGAGTAATACTCTTGAGTGCTTGCTTTGGCAGCACATATACTAAAATTAGAACAATACAGAGAAGATTAGCATGGCCCCTGAGCAAGGATGACAGGCAAATTCGTGAAGTGTTCAGTATTTTTCACATGTGAGAGGTCATAAGTGTGAATATAAAGAATGTTGTAAAACCTATAGTCATCATAACAATTTCATAAGAGTAATGCTTTTGACAATTTTTATCTTCTTCATGTCTCAACTGTTCACCTGATAATTATAAGAATTTCTCCTAGTCCCATAACTTTTCACAGAGATCCTGTGGGAATAATCTAAGAGAGATCTGTTAAGCATTTGAAGAACTTCAGAGCTGTAGACTTATGAACAAAAAGCAAACAAACTCACTGCCATCCAGTCGATTCTGGCTCACAGTGACCCCTCCTTGGGTTTCCGAGGCGATAACTCTATGAAAGTAGATTCTCTAGTCTTCCTTCCAAGGAGTGGCCAGTGGGTTTGAACTGCCAGTCTTCTGGGTAGCAGTCAAATGCCTTAGGCACTACACCACCAGAGGTCCCTAAAGTGGTATGAAAATAATGATCTTTCTGATTTTTATAAATTGCAGAAATTCTACAACCAGGTCTCTACTCCATTGCTCCGAAATGTTCAGTTCAACTATCCCCATACAGCAGTAACGGATGTCACTCAAAACAGTTTTCATAACTATTTTGGAGGCTCGGAGATTGTGGTAGCAGGAAAAGTTGACCCTACTAAATTGGAACAAGTACAGAGCATTATCAGCGCAACTTCGGTACTTCTGCTACTTTGTTTTTCTAAAAATACCAATTGGTCTCTTGAATACAATCCATCTTATACACTAACAGGCGAATAATCTCCTTTCCAAGAATGATTTGTATAGAATAAAAGGCCTGAGAATATGTATGCCATCTTCCTAACTATTCTGTAAATCTTTACCTTTTCTATCCCAAGCCCAATCCCCAGCTCTGGAGGTATGTACTTATTTCCTCAATAGAGGTTTTGACTTCCGTTTATTTATTTCCCTTAACATGCATAGTAACCTGATTCACTCACAACAGGTACTAAAAAAATGTGTTAATTCCTAACTATAATTCTGCTGCCTTGATGTCTTTCAACTTAACCTCCATCTTAGGCCAGCACAGACTTAGTCTTGGAAACCCTGGGTCAAATGGATGACTTGGAGGACTTTCTTTCAAAAGACAAGCATGCAGACCCTGATTTCACCAAGAAATTGTGGGCCTATCTAACAATCAACCAACTTCTAGCTGAGCGGTAAGAAGAGTCCACATTATAGAGGTTTGCAAAAGTGAAGTTTTTACTCTGAAAATTTAAAGTACTATACAACAAGGGTTTGCAACAAGAAAGGTAGCAAACGAAAGGACAAAAATTGCATGATCCCACTTATATGAAATATGAAGAGGAGGCAAATACATAGAGACAAAATGTTTTTTAATGGTTACCAGGAGTTGAGGACAGGGGTTATAGGGAATTATTGCTGAAGGAGTACTGAGTTTCTAGTTGGGGTACTGAAAAAAATTTTGGAAATGGATAGGGGTGATGCTAGTACAATGTGATGAATGTAATTAATGTCACTGAATTGTACCCTTAAAAAATTGTTATAGTGACAAATTTTTGTTATATATATTTTACTAAAAAAAAGAAAAGAAGAAGAAAAGCAGCAGAACTTGGATTAATACTTTCTGCTGGTTATTTTCCACTGATTATAAGCCATTTATTTAGAGGAGCCCTGGTGACACAGTGGTGAAATACTCAGCTGCTAACTGAAATGTCGGGGGTTCGAACTCACCACCAGCCACTGCATGGGATAAAGATGTTCCCACTCAAAACTCAGCCTCTCTCCCCATAGTGGAAACCACTATTCCTACTTCTACCACCATCAGTTAGTTCTGCCTGTTACTGAACTTCATATAATCATGCAATTTGTACTCTTATTTCTGGCTTCTTTCGCTCAGTGTGATGTCTGTGAAATTTATCCATGTTCCTGTGTATATCAGAAATTACTCTTGAAGACAGGTTACCATCCAAAGAGAAATTCGGGACTGTGGTGATCACAAAAGGAAAGCTCGCTAAAGGTCACCTATTTCATCTCTGGCTTCTCAGCTGAACTGCATTTAAACTCTCCAGTCCAAGAAGGATATTGCTAGAGTAATGTAGGGCTCTTAGATCACCTGCTCTGAATTACATGGGAGAGTTGATAAAAATTACCATTCCTCAGCCTCACCCCACCTACTAGATCATAGTACATCTGTCTTCTCAGGAAGATATATAGGATCATCTAAACCAAGTTAGAAAAGTGAAATGTGGTCATATACTTGAACTCACAAAGAAAATCCATGATATCAGAAAGAAAACTGTTCTGGTTACCTAGTGCCACTCTGACAAGAATATACCATAAGTGGGATGGCTTGAACAAACAGGAGTTTATTCTCTTACAGTTTGGGAGGCTAGAAGTCTGAGTTCAAAATGCCAGGCTCTAGGGTCTGGGGGACAGCCCCTCAGCCTTGGGCTTCAGCTCTGCCTCTTGCTCCTGGCCCACTGAAGTGAGAGGCATCTCTTCATTCAGGCAGCTTCTGGCTGCTGAGGCTAACAAGCCCAAGGTCAACAAATAATATGGCACAGTCCTGATGTTACTAACTACACAGAAGGCCATTAATTCAAGTCCATTGATAGTCCCAAAGTGGGCAGAGCATAGCAATCTGCTGAATAACAACATGGCTACATGCAGAGTTCAAGCGTACCATGTAAGAAGCCAAAGCTGCTTCTTATATATGGAAAGCAGCCCACATCCCAAAGGCAGCTACTCAGCTGTTTGTGGTAAGTCCCACCATGGAGTTGATTGCCAGTCTCATCATGGGGAATAACTACCACCAGCTGCCCACTCACTCAACCAGGCCCAGCCAAGTTGACACACGAAACTTAACAACCACAAAAACCTTACACAAGGTTGTAAACTGTGGCTTTGAAATAAGTGAGAAGTATACCTGCCCCTTTCTCCAGAAGCACACTGAGTATCTTTTAAGGTCATATAGCAAATCACCATGAAAGTTAAATACTGGGTTTTTTTTTTTTTTTTTTAAAAGTGTATTGGGACCTCACTGCTAGATAAAATATTAAGCCACATAAAGCCAATTAGTTCTTCGTTTGTAGCCCACCAGGGTCCTGGCTGAACACTGGATAAAGTGATAATGTATAATGTCTGTATTTCCTGGATACAGAAGCCTGGCTCCCACAGCTGCTGCCAAAAGGAAAATTACAAGAACGATCCTGCAGATGTCTCTGGAACATCATATTGTGACCCCGCTCACTGCGATGGTGATTGAGAATGATTCTGGGGATGAGCGGATGCTGGCAGACTCTCCCCCGCATGATCATTCTTGCTGTTCAGGTCAGTGATTCAGTGTGGCAGAGAAACTCTGCAGGACGACTTCCTTGCCCTGTGTCAAGTCCCAGAGCCTCTGCTTCTCTCCCACCTCATGCCCCTAGGTCTCCCTGTCAGTTTGCTTTGCCGATGGTTTATTGCTATGGTCTCCAAACAGTTTTGCTAACAAATTTCCAAAAGAATTTTGAAAACCTAAGCATCCCCTCACACATTTTAAAATCAATATTTAAAATTTATTATCTTGTTCAAAAGTTGTAAAGAATACAACTTCTGGCATACTGTAAATATTGATCTTTTAAAATAAAGCTGTTACAGGACTATTTTAAATGCACTCCATGGCATCCAAAACCTAATTTGATGTTCATATTCACCTATTAAAAAAAAAATACACGGACAAATTTTAATTATTGAAAATTTTATATTGTTCTATTTTTCTAGTTGCACTTATATTTCCATTCCACTTTTCCCCATAGAATCATATTGTAAGATATTTTTCTGTTTGGAAGTCTTTATTGATCACCCTGCTCCTTTGCAAGAAAAATATGTTTACAGATGGAAATTTAAATTTTGTGAATTTCTTGTGACCATAAGATTCTGAGTGTTCAAAATTTTCCTCTGGTCTGAGTTATTTTAAAACTACAACTAGTAGATATTTGATCAAAATAATACAAACATACTATCAATTTCTATATACATAAGAAGTAAAGTTTTGTTGGAAATCATCTCTTCCTGAGACAAATGTGACTGAATGTTTTGTCACATATCCATGGATGAGCATTTCTAAGTGACAGATTGAAACAGGATTTAGCATCAATTCTTTTTTTTTTCTTTAATTGCAAGTCCTGATAAACACTGTTGACATAAACAAGTAGATAGGTGTGGAAAGAGCTTTGTTACAGCAATGCTACTTATTTGAACTTTTCTGAAATTACATGCCAAAACAATATCATTCAAAAGTTATTTTTAATGATCTATCAGCTAAGAAAAACTCGGGCCCAACCCCAAATTTGTTGGAAGCAAAGAATTGGAAATGATCTGCCTTTCAAAATGATTTCTTACCCAGTCATTAGAGCCATTCAGTTATTTGGCACTACACCTATACCAAATTGATGCTTTAGGTGGAGAGGTGGGGTGGGTGATGAGGTGGGGTAGGGGAAGGGCATGCTTTCCATGTAAACTAGGAGAAGGATGGCTGTGAAATGATTTTTTCAGAAAAGAGTATATTTGAGAGCTGAGACTCTAGAAATTGCCTTAAAACTATCCATGTTCTCTGTGTCCTGTGGATATTCTTCCAGAACTCCTAGGAGTACACATACCACAGTTTAGAAGCCCTCTACTTTATTAACATTTTTCTTCCTCTCTTTCTTCCTGACTGGTCCTATTCAAACATATTCTTGAGAATGACCTACATTTTGTGCATTTTTTATTTTGTTAAAGTGAGGTGCCCAGTTTACAGCAGTAGTTCAAGGAACTCTGACTTCCAATGTTCCCAGTTGCGACAGCCTGAAACTTCAACAGTTAAATTTATCTGGGGAGGATCAAACCTTGGGGAACTGGCATTTGCTTCTCAAAAACAGGAAGATTGTCCAGATATTGGAAAGCGTTATGAATTTTTTGTATGTAAAATATCTCTCATTAGTTGGGGTAACTAAATTGTTCAGATTGTTGTATGTTGAGTAAGTAGGGATAGGCCTAAGAAGATGCAGACAGGAATGTAGGGCTGGACTGGACATTATCCCCTGGCCTGCCCAGAAGGTAAGAGAGTCTTCTGAGACCTCTGTGAATTAGTTCCTCCTACCACGGGGCCGACTCAACAGCAAAACAACAACAACAACAACCACCACTGGCCCCAGCCACTCCTCGGAAGGAAGGTTGGGCAATCCTACTTCCGTAGTGATAACTGCCTCGGAAACCCAAGGAGGGGTTGCTAGGAGTTGGGGCCGACTCGACGGCACATAACAACCACCACTGGCCCTAACTCAGGTCCTGGACTCTGATGAGACCTGTGGAGCAGAACCACATAGCATGATGCCCCACGGAGCCAGAAAAGTGAGAACTCTAGAAAAAAAATAGAGGAAGAACACCCTAGCTGGGAACCTCTGGGAGCTGCTTAAAATAGATTCTTGAAATTATAAGCAATTTCCATAGAAATGTAAACCTGGAAATAAATGGAAAGTGGTTTTTCTACACAGGTGCTCTGTATTATGGCAGCAAAGTTGCTTCAGGTTCAATCCCACCTTGGGCCAATCCTTCACCAACGCCAGAGATCCCATTGCATGCCAGGGGAGCTCAAGTGCTTGAGGCAACTCCACCTCATGTGATAAGAGGTAAAAGACCTTTGACCCCTGCTTTTGGATCCCAAATCTCAATCTGATCATAATCCTGCAGAGAATTTATATTCGTTTATAAAATTATGCTGTCCTTTAAAATACCATTATCTTCCATTGGAGAAGATAGCTCCATTTCCAAATGCATGAGGAGAAACTTCTGGAATAGAAGAGAGGGCTCATGTGGGGAGGGTCAATACAGCATCAGTGGAAATCTCTTTGGAGTTTACACCACCTGGGTGAACTTGAACAACTTAACTTAATGTTTCCACAGTTCATTTCCTTCATATTGAAAATAGGCATGGTGACATCTATGTACATAGATGGTTAAACACTAAACTTTCTTTAAAAGACCTGGCACATAATAGTCAATAAACAGATGTTGTTATTAAAGAGAAGGAGCTCCAGTGGCATGGTGCCTAAGCATTTGACTGCTAACCAGAAAGTTGGTAATTCAAACCCACCAGCTGCTCCACAGAAGGAAGATGGGCAATCTACTTCTGTAAAAATGTACTGCCTCGGAAACCCAAAGGGGATCACTATGAGTCAGAATTGACTGGATGGCACTAAGTTTGTTTTTATTATTATTATTAAAGAATGGGATCATATGTCTTATGATAAAAAATAATGTTTCCTATATAGCTACATGGTATTTTTGTCTTGCTTTTAATAGTGTATAAAAAGTCCTGGTTTTGCATGGTCTTAAATAAGCCTTTCTACCAGTGATTTCAGTGGGAAGTGTGGGTAGTAGATGTGATAAACTGAAAGCTAGGAAAACGTATTTCCTTGAGAGTTTTGATGGCTGTGGCTTCCTTGCTCAGTTACAGGTTCCTTAGCCCACCAATGTCAACCTCTCCAGTGTCTTCCCTCTCAACTAGACAGAAAGAGGAGATACTTGGGGAAAAAGGGACAAACAGTGTCTCCTCTCCCATTCCTAGATCCTAGTATTGCTGCCTTTCACCAAGAGATTACACCCAGTTAGGAAGGAGAAAGTCTGTATAAAGGTTGTGTTTGCTTCTTCCCTTTCTTCTTTTTTTTAATTAGAAAGTAGTAAGTTTCAACATTCAAAGTAAGAACATGTCCCTCTCCCCATATCAAAAAAAAAAAAAAGAAAAACCCAACTCACTGCCATCGAGTCAATCTGACTCAAAGCGACCCCTCCTTGGGTTTCCGAGGCAGTATCTCTACAGAAGTAGATTGCCCAGTCTTCCTTCCAAGGAGTGGCTGGTGGGTTTGAACCACCAGCCTTCTGATTAGCAGTCAAATGCCTTAGGCACTATGCCACCAGATCTTAACTTGGGTTTTGTTTTATTTAGTTATTTGAAATTTACATGTAAGTTTAGCTCATGTTGGCCCTAAAAATAGGCAGCATTTCTAGACTGCCTAGCATATAAACTCTTCTACCAAGAAATACTCAGAACTTATTTCTCAAGAAGGCTGTAGTAGACCCACCAGTCACCAAACATCATATTATAACAGAGAAAATTTAGCAAAGACTTTGAATGGATATTTAAAGTAATTTCATCTCTGTCACTTGGGGTTGCTATAAGTTCAGAATCGATTGGACTGCACCCAACAACAACAATTATTCATACAACCAACCCTCAGCTTTCTTACCTTATCACCTCTGGCTATGAAGCAGAATGAAGGACTCTGAGTTTAACTGTCAATTAAAGGTGGCTACCAGAGTTCTTCCCACAAAGATTACAGGCTTGGAAACCCTATGGGGCAGTTCTATTCTGTCACATAGGGTCACTATGAGTCAGAATCAACTCTATTGTAATGGGTTTGGTTTGGTCTTATGCCAATAAGACTTAGGTCTTATATA